CCCCCCCCCCCCCAATTCTCTGCAGGTTCTGGCTGCCTGTGTCGTCCTCCATCCTCCTGGAGGAGGAGATCTCTCCATGCATTGGATGTATTTCGGCTTCCGGTGCCTTTGCTGAGTCCTGGCCCCACCCTCCAGCTTCCCTCAGCGGCTGCACTCCTAGGGCCGGGGGGCCCTGCCCATCTGTCTCCTCCTGTGGTGCTCACCAGTTGCCAGCTTCTTGGAGAGGGTAGCCCCGGGGAGCTGGGCCCAACCCCTCCTAGGCCCACCGTGGAGTGCCCAGCGTTCACCGCCAGCCCTGGAAGGAGCTGTCAGCCCCTGAGCCTCACGGGGCTCCGTTCCAGCTGTCAGAACGGGCTCTGCTAGGATGGGTCGTCCGTAGAAAGGCAGGTTCAGCCCAGGCAGAGGCCTTGTGCTCCCGGGCCCCCATTGCAGGAGCGGAAGCTGCTACCTGCCTGCAGGAATTGCTTCCAATGCTGGTGTTGTCTGCTCTGGAAGGGGTCGCAGGGGAGAGGGGATGTGCACGTCCTAGTTTCTGCCGGCTGAAAGGGCCTGGGGTGCTCATCCACTCTGAACCCCAGAGCATAGGCCAGAGTCCTGCTTCTGGCCCAGGAATTTGGGGTTGGACTAAAATGGGTCTTTCGGAAGGCGTCCTCTCCTCGGGTTTAGGGCTAGAGTTGCTGTGCCATCATTCACCCCAGGGCAGTGGGGGATGCCCAGAGCAGAACAGCCCCCTGCCCCCCTTGGTAGGGGGGTAAATGACAACAAGAGCAAATGGATCCTCCAGGCTGGAAAGTTCCAGGGGTCCCAGCCCTGAGGAAGTTGCCCCAGGCAAGACTTCCCCCTCCTTGCTGTCAAAACCTGGCACTTTAGTCCTAGCTAGAATTCCTCTGCCCTGGGAGCCCGTCTGGTGCCCCTCGCGCTGCCCTGGAGGCCACTGGAGCGTGGGCCATGTCATTTACAATAAACTCTGGAAAAACCAATCCCACCCCTGGCCCAACGAGGGGCTGGCCCTGGCCACGTCTGGGGGGCTGAAGGAAGGCGCTTAGGCAATAACAGAGCGCGGCAAACTCTCGACACTTGGTCTTTCTTTATAGGTTTAAAAAGGCTGAGTTGTGGTTTCATGTTAGTGCTTTGGACAGACTCTGCAGAGGAACGACCCGGCCTCTTTGATCGCATGCAAAGGTCGAAGCGCAGCCGGGAACGGGGGTGACGAGAGCACCAAGGTGGGGGGGATACACATGTGGCTGGCGTCTCCCCGCCCTGCCCCGCCCCGCCCCTGCGCTGACCGAGTCTTATGGATAATAAAGCTTTTTGCTTCTCATCCTTTGAGACATGAACAAAACCCAATAAAAAGCTGAACCCGCCCCCCGTGGAGCAGCAAATCCATCCAGTTCTATAAAAATCAATAAATAATAAATAAAACCCATCGCTTTGCTCCCTGGGGGAGATCGGGGGGAGCCAGTTGGGGGCAGGGAGCAGTTCAAGGAGGAGCGGGGGGGGGTTGGCTTTCCAGGTATAAGGTTGTTGGGGGGAGAAGGGGAGTTAGGAGATCTGACTCCCCCTTTGCCCCATCTTACCACCACTTCCTTCCCTCCCCCCCCCACCCCCTCCCACACCGAGGCATGCTTGATCCAGGCCCCTCTCCCATTTGGGCCCAGTAATTTAGGGAGGGAGAAAGGGGGAGCTGGTTAGTTTTGGGGGGAATGGGGAGCAAGCATTCCCCCCTCCCCCAGGAAGCAGACACATCTGGGATAGGCTCTAGTTCCTGCACCCCCCCTCCCATGGCACTGTGTGGGTATCCGGCCCGCCCTCAATTTGGCACCTGGAGAACGAGATATTTCTAGCAGCAGTTGCTGAAGGGCCTGTCCCATTGGAAGCCTCAGCTTCACTCCCCCTTTCCTCCCCTATGGACCATCACCGCCTGGGCCCCTCTCCAGCTCCATGTGCCCCCTTTCCTGTGGGTCCTAGCACCAGAGCGTCCAGCTTAGAGCCCACGAGCCCTGCCCTGGCTCGAGGTTACCCCAGGGTGGGAGGAGGGAAGTGACTGGCACAAGGGGGGCAGCAGCTTTCCCAGCCCTCAAACTCCCCCCCCCCCCACTGCTTTGCTGC